GAGCAGAAGAAGTATCACCCAGTGCAATGAGTAGGCTTCCACTGGGAGGAACTGTTGAACTTATGCCTAGCTTCCAGTCTTCCCATGGTTGGCCCCTGTGAAAACAAGAGGCTGGACTAGATGCTATGATCCAGCAGGGCTGTCACGTTTCCTGGTTTCCACAGCTCTCAGTGTCCCCAGTAGCTGAAAATCCAACTCTCTCTCTTGGATCTACAACAACCACCTTCTCCTCTCAGCTGAGGGTCCAATACTAAATTCCTACTTCACACAAGTAGGACATCTTCACTCCATGCAACCCCCAAAGTGTCACGTCCAAAAGGGTCAAACCTTCTTCCTAGAAGAATCTGCTGGCCTCAGCTAGAAAACTGGGTACTGCTTTGTGAAGGTTGGTGAGAAGGTTCTTCTCTCTTCTGCAGGTCCTGGGCTGCTCAAAATGGTACCGGTAGCAGAGTGAGGCACAGGGAAGTGTGGGAGGTTGGGAGGTGGGGGGTTAGAGGGATGTTTCTAAGTCCCTCCAGTCCTCTGACACTGCTGACACTGCTTCCTGCTGCCATAGTGTCACAAGTTCCTCAGCCCCATCCATGGCAGCCTCCGGAATTAACCCTCACCCCAGGACATTTCTGTAAGTTTTTGTAAATGTGTTTCCAATAACCCAGGAAAGACCTCCATATGTCTACAGTCAGTTGCCAAGCATGTTCTTCTCAGCTATAAATAATAGTTACAACTTTGCAAATAAGCTTCATGTACCTTAAAAAAGAGAGAGAGATTATGTTCCATTGATAGAACACTAGACTTTTACCAAGTTTTGGGAGTCCACCTTTTTTGCTGCTGTAAATTATACACAATCAGTTTCCCCATTTGTAGAATACTCCCTCCAGGGAGGCTCGCCTTTGTCACATATGTTCAGGTGCCAAGCAAAAACCTTCCTCCTCTCTTTGAGAGAGCCAGTGTGGTGTAGTGGTTAAGAGTGGTAGACTCGTAATCTGGTGAACCAGGTTCGCTTCCCCGCTCTTCCACATGCAGCTGCTGGGTGACCTTGGGCCAGTCACACTTCTCTGAAGTCTCTCAGCCCTACTCACCTCACAGAGTGTTTGTTGTGGGAGAGGAAGGGAAAAGGAGATTGTTAGCCGCTTTGAGACTCCTTAGGGTGGTGATAAAGCGGGATATCAAATCCAAACTCTTCTCTTCTTCTCTTCTTTGCCAACCAGCAAATGGAAGATACCAATTTCCACATGTGACTGCCACATGTTGAAAGCAGTTCTGGTTTGGAAGTGCTGGTCTCTCACATAGCTTGTAGGAGGGATTACACCAGAAGCTAACAGTGGGCTTTTAAAATGTTTTTATATGGTTGACTTGCACAAGACCTCTTTACCACTCTTGTCCAAATGCGTAAATATCACTCATGCATAAGAAGCTGAGATGGAAGAGGTTGGGCCCTGAGGAGTGAGCTTCTAATTCTTCTAACCACTCTTTACCATTAGTGTGAAAATGTATTTCCAGTACAAGTTGGAATCCCTTTTGAAAGTATTATTTTTTAAAATGTAACATTGCGCTCTTCCGGGACCCCAGGTTTTCTGATGAGAATAGAACATGCCATACCGTGTGGCTGTGAAATATTTGCCGATGCAGCTAACAGCTTCATTAACTGGAAATAGATATCTAGCGACTGCATGAGTCACTATCAGTTACATATCAAAATTCCCCTGTGTGGCCGTGCTTCCAGTAAACAAGAGCTGCCTGCCACTTTATCAATGCCACATCAATGACAAGAAGAAGCAGGAGTTGGTTTGGGGAAAGAGCCTTGACCCACCCTTTGCTTCCCATCTTTTTCTCACATCCGTTATGGCGGCATGGCCATCCAAATAGCAATGATTTGGTTGACCAAGGTGGCATTGAAGTTCCTTTTGGTTTTACCTGACCTTTGTTGCACCCTGTGTTGCTGCTATCCCTGTGAGCCCTCAAGGAGTTTCCTGTGGGCATGGTTTGTTCTCTCTCAGTGCCCTGGTTGAGAGATGACCAGGGCAAATGAAAAAGACACTCTAATCATCCTTTTCCACTAACACGAGCTCATTCAGGCCTGTGGTTTCATGGGGACCTGGGGGTGATGATACAGATGGGATGTTGGTTAAAATGCAGCTGGTGGAAAACTCAGAGCCAATCAGCCTTCTTTGCCGTAATCAAGTGTTACCGGAAAAATCCGAGGGCTCCCTTGGACAAAAAGTAAAGACACCAACCAGAGTAAATTGGAGCAAATCAGCAGCCTGTAGGCTTGGCCTTTATTGAACTGTTGCAACAGGATGTTCCCCTCACTTGCAGGAGAGAGGAAAAGACACAGAAAAATGGTGTGCAAGACCTTATAAAAACTTTTGAAATTCCCACCCTGTAGATCAAGCCCACCCCCAGAAACATCATGCATACATTACAGAAAGGAGGGGTTGAGGGAGGAGTTGTGATGGTAACCTGAGTGTCCTGTCACCTGGCTGGTTCCCCTCTACCCCTCCCCATGAGTCATTTTCTGAAGACAAAAGGTAGTCGCAGTTTCCTGCCCCCTGAAGGAAGATCTGATCATTGTCCTTTGTTCCAGTCCATGCAGAATCCACTCCCATATGCAAGTTCTTTGTGATCTTGATTGTCTTCTGTCTAGGACCATCAGGGTTGGCATAGCAACTGGGCAGGGCTCCTGTGGATGTGCTGGGATGTTCAAGGGATTATGGCTGGCCTGTATCAAACCTTCCCCATTTTGTAGTCCTTCCTTCATGGAGTAAAATAAAAGTGGAACAGTGCAAATCCGATGTATGGTTGATTTTCTATGAATTTATAACAGAAGCGTAGCGTATGTAGTGTGTGAGTGTGAGTGTGTGTGAAGTTTGTACAAACTGAATGATGGGGGTGGGTGGGTTTCCTGCTACACAAGGCAGCAAAGAACTGATAAATCTCCCCTTTGCATTATCGTAGGGTGTATAAACATAGCAGTTTAAATGGGATTCAATACGTGTGCATGTTTTTGTTTTTGCATTTTGATATGCCAGACTTGCACAAAACGGTGGGTTAAAAAACAACAACAATGTGTGTTGCAACTGGTCCAACCCCAAACTCAGCGAGGAGCACCTCAACAACAAAAGTAGGGGGTGAAGTGATAGACAGCACCCATCGCAAAACATGTGGGAACTTGAACAGACTAGCTATGAATCACAAAGGACCTGGTATGAATCTCATCACTGCCTTCCTAGTGAACTTCCTAGTGATCCCCTCTCTCATCTTCAGTCTCCTCTCTGTTTTGCAACATGGGGGGATAATAATACTGACATACAGGGCAGTTGTGAAGATTATACTTAGATAAGACATGTAAACTGCTTTGAGCACCTGAAAGCACAATGCAAATATTAAGGGGTGGGTTTTTTTTAATTGAAGAATATTCAATTATAGTGTTTACACCAAAGCAAATAAATTGACACCTAAACAAGAATTAAAAGGGGAGAGTTGAAATATGGAAGAGGGGGATGGGTTAGGGTGTTTGAACCATATATACTGAAAACACAAATATAGTGGATGGTCAACTAGTACGATGCAAAAGTCTCAAGAAAATCCGATAAAATGTTCTTGTATTTCCCTTCTTTGCACTCATGTCAATTCAATGCACGGCCAGTTCAAACAGGGACAGGGAGTGCAAATCATTAACCCATTGCTGCAAGGAAGCAGATAACTTCTCATTCCAGTGTTGAAACACCATGCATTTGGCTGACGTTGGTTCATGACCCATGGCTTGGTGGTAATTCTCCCTATTATTGGGGAGGTAATTCAACAAAGCATGCACATCTTTGAAATGTAGTAAGGTTTCTAGGACCAAAATGGATTAGCAAGACCCCTAAATGTGCTTCCAACCAGGCAGCTCCACATGACGTTGGTAAGGGACACCATTTCTAGCAAGTCTGAAATGTTAATTTTTGTTGCATGAGACACATCCTCCAGTCAAGGGATGACCTTTTGATACATGAAAGTGCCGGGGACCGCTGCATAGATTGCATGGCCATTCGAAAACCCTGTTTCCCTTAGTATTTATTATTAGTTGGCAGATGGGGTGTGGGACTTAGGCAAGCCATTACACATCTGTCTCATACATAAACATCCCATCTGTAAAAACAGAAGTTGCCAGGTGGAAACAATCTCTTAATCCAGGCCTTCATTTGATTAAACAACCTATGGCCTTTTAAATATGTTTGTGGGTGTTATTGTTTGGTTGCTGTCGTTATTACTTTATGTATTTCCTGTTTTTATGCCCTGCAATTTTCAGATGAAACGAGGCATACAAATTTAATAAAATAGTAATGTCAAAGACGGAATTAAAAAGAAATGGCAGCAGAGAGGAAACCAGGCTGCATTGCGTGATTCGGAAATGAGTGTGGGGTGTGTGTCTGTGTCTCTGTGTGTAAACATACACACATACTGTTCTAGCAACCTCACACCCAGGAGTGCTTGGGAATTCTAAGAGAACGGGTGCAGTTTTTGAAAGGTTCAGTCCGCCACCTTGGTTCAAAATGGGTGTCCCAGTCTCACGCAAACCTAGGTGAAAACCTGTTCTGTGATCTTGTGATTCCTGTATTGCAGAGGACCTAGACTAGAGCATGAGACGCTTAATTTCAGGGTTGTGGGTTTGAGCCCCATGTTGGGGGAAAGACTTCTGCATTGCGGGGGGGGGGGGGGCTAGATGCCCTTCAGTGTCCTTTCCAGCCCTACCATTCTAAGAACTGATTTGAGCTGGAAGGGACCCCAAGGGTCATCTAGCCCAACCCCGCCTGCAACGCAGGAATCTCAGCTAAAGCAGGTGGCCATCCAACTTCTGCTTAAAAACTTCCAGGGAAGGAGAGCCCACCACCTCTCGTGGCAGTCTGTTGCCGCCAGGAAGAGCTGCAACTGCCAGAAAGGCAGCCCAAACGTCGCCATGGAAACAGGCGGGAGCACGCCGGCCGCTGCGGGCCCTTTAAGGCGGAGGGCGCGACGCGATGACGCGCGTCTCCCGCGACTCCTGTCCACTGGGTGCTCCACGTGGCTCCGGCGCTGTGATCGCGATGGAGGGGCCGGCGGCGGCAAAGGCGCCGCCGCCGCCGCCGCAGAAGCGCTTCTATCGGCAGAGAGCGCATTCCAACCCGCTGGCGGATCACACGCTGCGCTAGTGAGTGCGGGCGGGATAGGGAAGCAGCAACAACCCCGCGATCGCCCCGCTTCCGGGCTCCCGCCCTCGCCGCCCGTTTCCGTAGGCTCCCCACGGGCTCACAGAGACGTCTGTCCGCTTTGCCAGGCGCACCCCGATTTTACGGTGCTGACGTGTTTTGCTGTTGAATTCCATTCTGAGTGAGCCTCCAGTGTCGAAATTCGCACCTCTCGCCCCTTGACTCAGGGAATATGGACCCCATAGTGAGTCACACCGCGCATTGGTCTGTTCGGGCCGGTGTTGTCTCTTATGAATGGCAGAGGAACCTCTGTGGCAACCGGAGTTGCTTTCGTGGGAGGGGATAAGGAACCTGGGGGGTTTCTGCATGCAAAACATGGGCCACTGGTCTGGCTTACCTGCTTCTTGGGCACACGTTTTGGTGATCTCTAATTTCTTTTCTCTTTTTTATAATAATTTTTTATTAATTTTAACATATTAATTATCATTCATACAACCAAACTTGACTTCTTATACAGTCTTTTTGGACTTCCATCAGCACCTCTGATGATCCTCCATTCTTATCACTTATTCTGCATTTCTTAGGTTCATATTGCCTTTAATTATCTTAACTAACAGTCCTCCTCATTACCTTTTTTGCAATATTTCAAATAGTTCACCTTACAAAACTTCTTGCAAACCTACAAGCGTAATCTGATCATCACAATTACTTTTCTAATAGTCTGTAAAATTACACCAGTTCTGTGAATCGCTGGTCCTGCAGGTTTCAAATTCTTCCTGTTAATTTGTCTAATTCTGCATAGTCCCTCAGTTTCATCCTCCATTCCTCTTTTGTCGGTAATTCTTCTTGCTTCCAATTTTGTGCCAATAATATTCTTGCTGCCGTCATTGCATATAAAAGTAATTTACAAGGTGATCTCTAATTTCTAGGGATTCTAACCTTCCAGATGTTGTTGGACTCCCGTCAGCCACAGCCAGCAATATCTTGGGGGGTGGGGGTGGGGCTCTAGTTCCCCATCCCTGCTCTAGAGTTTATATTCATCAGTGACAAACTGTCTTGGCGCACCCCTCTTCATGGTGAACTGTGAGATGAGGGCACTGCAGTCCTACATACATGTTTGCTCAAAAGCAAGCCCCATTGAATTCAGCTGTAATGGTTCTAACTCTGCTTAAAAACAAGGCTCCTTGATATCAGTGGCCTGCCTGGCACATAACGCTTCACTATTGTTCTTCAGCAAACTGCAACTTGTCCTACAAACTGTGGTTTGTTTCTCCCAAGTTTGTCCTGTTTTGTCTTGTGTCTTTTTAATTTGGTGAGCATCTGGGGTGGGTTGGCCAACCAAACTATGGACAAGGAAGAGTGCTGTGTTCACACCTAATGCCAGGCCACAGTTAAAACAAGCTAAGGTGTGTAAGCCAACATCAATCCGTCACTTCAGACCATGGTTTGATTTGGGAGTAGACAAACCATAGTTAAGCTGCCGGGCAAGGTTTGCAAGTAAACCTAAAGCATGATTTATGTAACTTTAGTTTAATAAGCTATGGCTTTATGTTATATGGGAACCAGACCAATGGGACTTGCTTCCAAGTAAGGATACCTAAAGCTGCAATCTCATGCACGCTTGTTTGGGCATATTGACAATTGAATGAAAGGGAGCTTCTCTGTGTACGTGTGCATATGACTGAGGCAGCATATATTGCAGTCTGCAGCTTAGTTATGTAAGGTGAGCGTCATTGCATTCAGTGGGACTTGCTCACAAGTTAAGCGTGCCTTAATACAATTCATGTACAAAGCAATTTCCAGTGACAGTAATTTCCAGTGACATCAATGGAACTTGCTTCCAAATAATTGTGGTTAGAATTTGACTGTAGTCCCCTAAATTTTATTGTCTGGATCTCCCGCACTTCTTCCAGATGGACAAATTGCCATTTTCCTTGTTTATGACATAAGTCTTTGGAATGTTTCCGGAGATGCAAATCATGGGAATATTTCTCTGTGTCAACATGATATGATGCATGCCAGCCCTGACTTCTTGCCCAATTCAGTTTCTGAAACCTGTAATAAATTGTGTCCCACAGAAGTTGTTCCTCATGGTTGCCTCTTGGGAAAACAGCCATTGTTGCTTCATACCAAAATACTAGGTTTATAATCTGATAACTGTAGCATATAACAACAATGCAGTTTGCATACACACCATACATTTAAAGTACATTGCTCCCCCTCAAAGAAACTTGGGAATTGTAGTTTATACCTCACAGAGTTACAATTCCCAGCACCCTAAACAAACTATAATTCTCTCTCTCTCTTTCTCTCTCTCTCTCTCTCTCTCTCTATTTGGGGGGGGGGTGTTGATCGTGTACTTTAAATGTATGGTGTGTCTGCAATCTCCATTTCCCGCTTTTTCTGTCACCCCTTTGTTTGTGTAATTACCGTATTTTTCGCCCTATAGGACGCACTTTTTCCCCTCCAAAAATGAAGGGGAAATGTGTGGTGCGCACCGACCCCTCTCGCTCTCCAGGCTTCAGGAAGCTATCCGCAAGCCTTGGGAGCCCGCGGGAGTTCTCGCTGGGCTCCCAAGGCTTGCGGACAGCAGCCTGCAGCCCGAAACCCGGGGAGTGCAGCAGAGCACGCCCCGGGCTTCGGGCAGATATCCCAAGGCTTGCGGATAGCAGCCTGTTCTGGGGGTTGGGGTCGGGGGAAGCTCGGACTTCCCCCACCTCAGCCCCACGCCTGGGGGGGAGAAATAATTTTTTTTCTTTATCCCCCCCCCAAAAAAAACTAGGTGCGCCCTATGGGCTGGTGCGCCCTATAGGGCGAAAAATACGGCACCTTGCCTGGTGCAGATTTCTGGAGATGGCTTGCTGCTATTTTGTGACATTTTAGTTGGTCTTAATAAATGAATTGCCCAACTGCAAGGTTTTTTGCCTCATATGTACCAATACATATTACCTTGGGTGGTGGTTTTTCTAGGGTCAACGCATAATTACTGTTCTTCACTCTTACTTCATGAAGTCCTCCTGTTTCTTTCCTGATAGTCCTGCCAAGCCTGAAGAAATGGACTGGTCAGAGATCTACCCGGAATTTTTTGCCCCTTTAACTGCAGACAATCAACACGATGACCTGAAGGATGCAGAAGACAGAACTAAGCCTGCGTCTCAAGTAGAGTTTGCTGATATCGGCTGCGGTTATGGGGGCTTGCTTGGTAATTTCTCCCCAATGAGAGTTAGCTGATGGTTAAGGTTGTCTCTACGGGTTAAAGGTAAAGGTAAAGGGACCCCTGACCATTAGGTCCAGTTGTGGCCAACTCTGGGGTTGTGGCGCCCATCTTGCTTTATTGGCCGAGGGAGCCAGCATACAGCTTCCGGGTCATGTGGCCAGCATGACCAAGCCGCTTCTGGCGAACCAGAGCAGCGCACGGAAACACTGTTTACCTTCCTGCCAGAGTGGTACCTATTTATCTACTTGCACTTTGACGTGCTTTTGAACTGCTAGGTTGGCAGGATCTGGGACCGAGCAACGGGAGCTTACCCCGTTGCGGGGATTCGAACCGCTGACCTCCTGATTGGCAAGTCCTAGGCTCTGTGATTTAACCCATTGCCACCCGCGTCCCATCTCTATGGGTTACAAGCCTGTAAAAGACTCTAAAACAATCCTTTTCAAATGCTTTCCTCCTCTCCCCAGTCTGCGACAGCTGTTTATTCAGAAACCATGTTAGGAGGGAGGAAGCGGGAGAGATTGGACAAATAAGAGAGTATTTTTTTCCTTCCTTGCTTTTCCTTTTGCAAGGTTTCAGGGGGTTTTCCTGGGGTAAAAATTCTGTGGTCAGGAATGCATTAGAATTTTCCCCATAGGAATCAGTGGAAATCATCGACTTGTCATGTGAATGCTTGCCCAACAAAAGATTTCCTGAGAATGCATCATGTTTTGGATAGCGAGATCCTGTGCATTTTGTTGTATTGCAGTTTGAATTCTATACTATAAAATACAATATATAAGAAATAGAAGAACTGATGGAAACACAATTGAGAGCCATACAGTATCTAGCACAGTGCATTACAATGGCTACAACAGGCAGAAAAATCATTAGGTGGTCTGCCAAGTCCACCTGCAATTTTCAAGGGGTCTGCGTAGAACACATCGAGTTTCCATTCATGCTGGAGGAAAGAAAGCAAATGGCGTGGATCCTGGTAGTATTTTCTGCATTTGCAACTGGCGGTACTGTAATTCCACAGCCTGAGAATTGTCAGCCTTCATTTGAAAAAGCAAGTGTGCAGTCCTCATGGATGTGAGGACAAGCCTCAAAAGATGCAGGCTGTGACTGATGTAATCTTGGAACCAGGAGATTCTAGTGATCAGGAGGAGACAGCTCTTTTTATCCTTCCTCATAATCAGTGGAAGCAGAATAATTTATTGAGATGGCGACACATCTGCTTCATTTGGCAAACAGATGCTGGCCATGGAATTCCCAGTGAGAAATGTGTCATTTATTAAGCATGAATAGGCCCTGGCTCTTACGAAGACCATTGTCTATATTTTTAGAATTCATTCCTGCTGATTCACAGTGATCGGAATGCGATGGATTGATTTCTACGGTGGTGTTTTCCTTATAATGAGGGCGGCTATCATGCGACAGTCTGAGTTTATAAAGAGTCATGATCTGCCGGTTATCTACATTAAAAAAACCCCAAAACACTTTACTCAGGAAAGAAGCTTGCGGCAAGTTTTTCACATGATTAATTGTCGCTCCTTGACCATCTTGTGAATCCACAGACAGGAATGTGTTGGATGGAGGTAAAAAGAATCTGAATTGAAAGTGAGTCCCACTGAATTCAGGGAAGTTACGGCCCCCTATTTGCGTGGAAATCATGAGTTCAGTGGGACTCGCTTCCCACTGCAATCTTATCTCTTAGCCCCAAAAGAGCGTCTAGGGTTGAGTCTTTGTTCTTAAGTGTCCTCCAGATGTTTTGGACTTCTGTGCTGACCGGGGCTGATAGGCGTCCAAAACATCTGGATGGCAGCAGGTTGAGGAAGTCTGCCCTCCATGAAACTAAGGCTGCAGTTCTGTGTGTGCTCTTCCCTTGGAGCAAGCTGGACCGAACACAGCTGGACTGGTTTCCAAGTCAGTCTGCGTAAGACCAGGCTTGCATAATCCTACATGCACTTTCTTGTGTGTTAGGTTCCACTGAAATTAGTGGGATTTACTTCCAAGGAAATATGCATAGTGTTGCGCTGTGTTCCTCAATCTGTGTCACTCCATGTGCTTAAATTCATTGCTGGCCATTCTTGTTTTTCACATTTCTTTGTCCTCTCTTAACGCTGAAATTTAAACAGTAAGTTTTGCAAAGCCTCGTCTAAATAATGTTTTGCAATAATAATAATAATAATAATAATAATAATTTATTATTTCTACCCCTCGCCCATTTGGCTGGGTTTCCCTGGTCACTCTGGGCGGCTTTCAACAGAGCATTAAAAACAGAATAAAACTTCAAACATTAAAAACTTCCCTAAGCACTGGAGGTAGCCAACCCGGTGCCCTCCAGTTTTTGGGGACTACAGCTCCCAGCATCCTTGACCTCTGGCCATGTTGAGTGGGGCTGATGGGAGTTGTAGTCCAAAGAATCTAGAGGCTTTCACTTGGGCTACCCCTGCCTTATGCAATAACAGTAAAGGCGCACACTGCGAATGTTGAGAGAGCTACAAAAAGTGGACCATAGCCAGTTTTGGGTGAACTTCCCTGCTCCTGTTAGATTCTTGCAAAAAGTGCTAAACTTTGTAGACCTTGCTCTGCTCTAGCAAGACACTCCTGTGTTCTTAAGCAAGAGGATATAGCAAGCTCATGCTCTGGTTAGTTACGCTGTTTTCTATTAAGAGATTTTCACGTCGTGTCCTTTGCTTTGGAAATTTGCATCATGTTTGTTGACTGTCAGCATTCTAGTAAAGAAATTATGAGTAGGCCTACTCTTGGCAGGCCTGGTCCTAGCTAAGCTTACTGAAGAAGGAAGTCCCATATATTTCCGTGGACTTCTAAACAGAGGAATGATGCAAAGACAGTGTAAGAAAAGGAAGTTAAGTCTAGCAGAGGGGTTAGAAAGCATCTCTTTGGCTTTGAAATGTGGAGTTGCAGGGGGAGCAGGGAGATAAAGCATCTTTGACTTTATGGCCACCTTGTGCTGATTTTATTGAACAAGATTTATATATATAAAAAACCCTCTGTCCTCTTAAGTTACTGGCTGGCTGTTCTCTTTTGCAGTTGCACTGTCTCCCCTGTTTCCCAAGACTTTAATGCTGGGTCTGGAAATCCGAGTGAAGGTCTCTGATTATGTGCGGGACAGGATCCAGTCTCTGAGAGCATCTCACCCCGGGCAGTTCCAGAACATCGGCTGCATCCGCAGCAATGCCATGAAACACCTGCCCAACTTTTTCCGCAAGGGGCAGGTGAGTTTCCAAAGAGTGTCTCTCCCCATTTGGAGTTTTAAAAATTATTTGTGTACACACTTTTAAAGACACCTGTGACGCTCCTGCCCTGGACAGTTGAGGTTCTCGCTGTTTCCTCCGAAAGAGAAACCTCTGTCATCTGTTGCTGCTTTTTCATGGATCTTTAGGGTAGATCCTTGTGTTTTTTAAAAAAACAATGTCCCATACAAAATTGCTTTGTCCTGTCAGACTGTTGGTGATATCTATTACAGAGATGAGGTATCTGTGGCCCTCTGACTGTTGCTGGACTCTGGCATTTAAAGCATGTGGCTTCCCTCAGAGAATCATGGGAACTGTAGTTCACTCTCACCCCCTCAGCGCTACAGTTCCAGCAACCCTTAACAAACTACAAATCCCACAGTTCTTTGGGGGAAATATGGTTTGTGCACGGTCTATAATTCCCACCATGGCCAGTGGTCAGGGATATTGGGAGCTGTAGTTCAACATCAGGAGGCCCATAGGCTTCTCATCCCTGCTCTAGTCTAATGGTTCACCCAGGTTTCAGTGAGGTCCTCCCCAGCTGTGATGCCCAAGGTTTTGTTTACCTGGCGGTGCATCCAGAGTTTGATTCTGGAGCTTTCTACAGGCAGAATGGGTGACTTCCCGCTGAGTGCCAGTCTCATTCCTTTGGGGACAAGGGTCATTGATGAATGCTAATCCAGTTTTTACCTAGGGTTTTAATAGGTCATAAGATTATACGGTAACTATATTTGTAATGTCTTTTTGTCGGTGTTTGTCCTTTGATGCTATGGCCTGTTGGCTACGCAAATAAATAAAGTCCTGAAGAGTCCTTCCCTTCCCTTTGGGGACAGGAGGGAGACAACAAAGACTTTGTTGGCCCTGGATATTCCCTAGCCAGGCCAAATGCAGATTAGGGGTTATGTTTAATTTGCAGGCTGCTGACAGGCTAATGTCTTCCATTCTTTCTGGTGGTGAGGCATCTCTTTCTTGTTCTTTTTCGCATAAAATCCAGCTGCGCAAAATGTTTTTCCTCTTCCCTGATCCTCACTTCAAGAAGACAAAGCACAAATGGCGGATTATCAGCACCACTTTGCTGGCAGAATACGCCTATGTTCTGCGCGAGGAGGTGAGTGCATTGCTCTCGAGGGGGGTGTAGCCTCTTCCGAGCCCCTTTCAAAAGGAAGGCATCAGGTTTGTTTGTCTGCCGCTTTTCTGTGGCAGAGCCATGCTCAGAGCAGCTCACAAACACCCTACAGAATAAAATGCAACAACATTTCAAGGCAAGAACCAAAAGAGACAGACAATTTAGGCCAAAAGCACACTAATATCAATAGGTCAAACAAACATCTCACATTAATAAACACTGAATGCAAAACATTTTCCATCTACTGCAAGGGCAATAATAATAATAATATTAATTTATTATTTCTACCCCGCCCATCTAGCTGAGTCTCCCCAGCCACTCTGGGCGGCTCCCAATCAAATGTTAAAAACAGTACAGCATTAAATGTTAAAAACTTCCCTGAACAGGGCTGCCTTCAGATGTCTTTTAAAGATAGGATAGCTGCTTATTTCCTTCACATCTGAAGGGAGGGTGTTCCACAGGGTGGGCGCCACTACCGAGAAGGCCCTCTGTCTGGTTCCCTGTAACCTCACTTCTCGCAATGAGGGAACCGCCAGAAGGCCCTCGGCGCTGGACCTCAGTGTCCGGGCTGAACAATGGGGGTGGAGACGCTCCTTTAGGTATACAGGACCGAGGCCATTTAGGGCTTTAAAGGTCAGCACCAACACTTTGAATTGTCCTCGGAAATGTACTGGGAGCCAATGCAGATCTCTCAGGACCGGTGTTATGTGGTCCCGGCGGCCACTCCCAGTCACCAGTCTAGCTGCCGCATTCTGGATTAATTGCAGTTTCTGGGTCATCTTGAAAGGTAGCCCCACGTAGAGCGCATTGCAGTAGTCCAAGCTGGAGATAACTAGAGTAGTTTTTGTTTGTTTGGTTGGTTGGTTGGTTGTTGTTTTTTGCAATATCTCCCATATGTCTACGAACATCTCTGGTGGTCATTTGCAGTCTAAGAAGTGCAGGGGAAGAAGCAGTAACTTTTGTGACACTTCCTTGCTGGAGGGTATTATTACTTAGCATACACAGCCAAGCGTCCGTTGTGGGGATCCTGTGGCCTGCCAGAAGTCGCTGAACTACAACTCCCATCAGCCTCGGTGAGCATTGTCAGTGGCTGGGAATAATGGCCGTTGTAGTTCAGCAAGATCTGTCAGTTTGCATTTCTTAGTGCAGAAAGTATTGATCTGATGTGTAGAGATCTTTCCTATTCTCATTAATTCAAGAGGGTTCTGGAAGCTTCTCTGTGAAAGAAACAAGCAGAAGGGTCATGATGTTTGGGTTATACCTTCAGAGAAGCAGAGTTGTTCTTGTTTAGTTGTTTAGTTGTGTACGACTCTTCGGGACCCCCTGGACCAGAACACGCCAGGCACTCCTGCCTTCCACTGCCTCCCGCAGTTTGGTCAAACTCATGCTGGTAGCTTCGAGAACACTATCCAACCATCTCGTCCTCTGTCGTCCCCTTCTCCTTGTGCCCTCCATCTTTCCCAACATCAGGGTCTTTTCCAGGGAGTCTTCTCTTCTCATGAGGTGGCCAAAGTATTGGAGCCTCAGCTTCACGATCTGTCCTTCCAGTGAGCCCTCAGGGCTGATTTCCTTAAGAATGGAGAGGTTTGATCTTCTTGCAGTCCATGGGACTCTCAAGAGTCTCCTCCAGCACCATAATTCGAAAGCATCAGTTCTTCGGCGATCAGCCTTCTTTATGGTCCAGCTTTCACTTACATACATCACTACTGGGAAAACCATAGCTTTAACTATACGTACCTTTGTTGGCAAGGTGGTATCTCTACTTTTTAAGATGCTGCCTAGGTTTGTCATTGCTTTTCTCCCAAGAAGCAGGCGTCTTTTAGTTTCGTGGCTGCTGTCACCATCTGCAGTGATCATGGAGCCCAAGAAAGTAAAATCTCTCACTGCCTCCATTTCTTCCCCTTCTGTTTGCCAGGAGGTGATGGGACCAGTGGCCATGATCTTCGTTTTTTTGATGTTGAGCTTCAGACCATATTTTGAGAAGCAGAGTACAGCTGACTTAAACTGGTTCTCTTATCTCTTCTGTTAAGATCATGTTGGCTGTAAAAGTAGGACTAGAAGGAGCCAGAGTTACACTTTCACCTTCTGTCTCTTCCTTCTGATGTGGTGTTCTGTACATAGATAGTGTTAAGGTTTAGTCTTATTATAAGTTATTGTAAGTTAAGTCTGCTGCAACTAGATTTCTTATGGGCAGTGCCAATCCTTTATGTATTGGATTTGTGACCATTATACTCATTTGCCTTCAGTGGGAGTAAAGCTCTGCTGAATGGAATATTAATTGCCTCTGGTCTATTTTTTGGGAATCCTGCAACGTGTTTTAAGTTTTTACTCTGCTAACTATACGTTGGAATCTGCTCTGGATCAATATTGAGTAGAATTCCATTTTCTGGATGACCTCTGTCTGAGAGGTGAGCCGCTACCAGCCAGAGTAGACAGGTAATCTGACCAGGTAATAAAGCAGCTACCTAGGATTGGGCTAGCAGTCCATGAGACCTGGGAGCATGCCCTGGAACCACCCCAATCCCCAGGTATTTCTCCAGGACGTCAGGCTTCTGAGGCAGATGCATGGGGGTTCCGTGGCAGCTGAGATTGGCGAGCGATGGGCTCCATGAAGAGGGACAGTGAAGGTTTCGGAGTTGCCTCTCTAGGGCTGCGTTGCGCCACAGAGGTCTCTGTCTAGACATTCCCTTCCACCTCAGCATTCCAAGAGGATGTGTGAACGGAGGAGGAATGTGTCTGCCCTCCGGCTTAGACGCCCTTCTGTACTAATTCCGCCGATCCCAAGTACTTCCTGAGGATAGGCCTTCCCAGAGTAAGCTACGCCATCTTCATACTCCAGAAATAATCACTCTCTTTTATCAAAACTCCAGGTGCGTCATTGTGCCCTGGAGCCTAGGGAAAAACAAGACGCTCTGGATCGCTTGGGAATTTCACTCCCAAGATTTAGGGACAGGTGCTAATTAGTGCTGAAGGCAACACTCTTCTCCCAGCTCCTAGCAAGAGGCTTGTGCTGGCAAACTTCCTGGCAGCCGAGCGAGCATTGCGCCACTTCCAGCCCCTGACTTTGTCCTGGCAGCTTCTCCCCAGGGCACCCTGGCTGACTCTCCTTTCACCTGCCAGAGGGGTGGGCGGGAAAGATGGAGAGCATCCTTGCTGCTGCTGTTTCTTGCGTCCCCGTTTTTGGGGTTGGACGCAAAAGGGAGCCAGTCTTTGTGATGAATCAGCACCAGGCCTCACCCAGAGTCAGCGTGAGTCACCCCACAACTCTCCAGGTAGCTTTCCCAAGGCTAAGGAGGAGTCTGGCACAGCGCAAGAGGCGGCAGCGCAGCAGCGCCCTCAAGAATCGTGACGGCTGCAATTGCTGAGCCCTAGGCTGCAAGGAAGTTGGGGCTTCAGAATACCCAGTAATTACTCCTTTTCGGAAATGAGCCCGGGATCCAACTTTGAACAGGAAGCTTCCAGTGGTTTGGGAAAATCTTTTTCTGCTGAAAACCTTCCCCCTCCATTTGCATTGGAATATTTTGCCCCAACCCCAAATAGCAAACTGTTCTGGCTTCTGTCCCATGTAAAGGTAAAGGGGGACCCCTGCCCATTAGGTCCAGTCGTGGCCGACTCTGGGGTTGTGGCGCTCATCTCGCTTTATTGGCTGAGGGAGCCGGCGTACAGCTTCCGGGTCATGTGGCCAGCATGACTAAGCCGCTTCTGGCGAACCAGAGCAGCGCACGGAAACGCCGTTTACCTTCCCGCTGGAGCAGTACCTATTTACCTACTTGCACTTTGACGTGCTTTCGAACTGCTAGCTTGGCAGGAGCTGGGACTGAGCAACTGGAGCTCACCCCATCGCAGGGATTTGAACTGCTGACCTTCTGATTGGCAAGTCCTAGGCTCTGTGGTTTAACCCACAGCGCCACCCGCATCCCTCTCTGTCCCATGTAGTGCTAAGTAGTTGTCCCGTCAGCTTTTCTGCTTGCACAGTGGGACTTGCCCATCTTTCCCCCCACACCATAAGCACCCCCAGATCTGTCCTGGGGCTTTCTCCAACCCTCCAGATCAGATTTGGGGAGGCGGGGAATCCCGTTACGCAAAGGGAATAGAGAGAGTCCTCTGCATCTTGCTCCTTGTAACATCTCCCTTATCTCTTCCAGGGGCTTGTCTACACCATCACAGATGTGGAAGAGGTGCACAGGTGGATGGTGAAGCATTTCAGGGAACACCCGCTTTTTGAGCAGGTGTCCTTGAAAGAACTGGTGAGTGCAAGGGAGCGTGCACATCCGTGCAAGTGCATCATCTCTGATGTAAGGGTTTTTTGCAGTTCCAGACAGGCTTTCGAAGCAACCTGCATGAAAACGTTTCGTAATTCTCCCAGCCTGCTCTCTTGGAATTAGGTCACCGCCCAATGAACTTCCAGGTTCCAGATATAGCCTCTGAGGAAACCGCCCCAGTGACACATCGGCACTTGCACTTGCAATCTTAAATTTCAGCACTTGTTAAAAGTATACAGACCTAAAGAGGAGTAAAATGCAATAAACATGTAAGGGATGGCTGGAGCCGAATAAATGCATAAACGTTTCATGGCATTAATCTTACATGTGCATGCCTAGAAGTCAGTCCTACTGAGTTGAGTGGGGTGTCTGCTCCTTGCTAAGTGTGCACAGGATTGCACCCTTCAACACAGATGTATAAAACAGACCCAGAAGTAAAGTTATTAATCCACAAAAGTCTTACTCTTTCTGCTGCACGTGTTCATTAACTTATAGGAAAAACGAGAGACATGTCCTGTTCTAAAGCTTCCCCACCCTGTCATTTGGGAATAGCTGGACTGATCCTGCCCCCTCCCACCCCATCTTCACCCTGAGCCAACCTGTTCTTAGTTGCCCCGTAGTCCAAGCTTTGATGTACCAGTTAAGGCAGATTAACATCACCATCCCAATGAAACGCCACTGCAGCAGCCCCCAAATTCTATAGAGCAGAACAACAGTATGGATGTGTGCCGCTCCAGCCCTGATCGTTTAATACAGGGAACGCCAAAAGTCATCAGTGCCGAGGTGAGAAGCCACAACTGAAAGCCGAAGTGAAATGCAGAGATGAAAACAGCTTCCATGGTTTTAAGAGGACTAGCGAAATAAAAAGAGGTGTTAAAAGTCAGCAGTGGGCGAGTCTCTCTGGAGGAGGGCATTCCCCGACTGGATGGGAGCCCTGCTTAAAAGGCCCTCTTCCGTTTTGCCACTGTGATCTCAGGTTGTGGAAGTCCTTGAAGTTCAGTTATTCCCCTTTACACTCTGTTGTGGTTAACATTTTTCTGTTGGGGTGCAACCAAGGGAACGGGCAATTTGCAAGCCCCCAGGTGTCTCCAGCACAAACAGAAGTGGCAGGAGACGGCTGTGAGAGCATATCTAGAAGCAGTTTATTCAGCATAAAGGAAAAGGTAAAGGTACCCCTGCCCGTACGGGCCAGTCTTGACAGACTCTAGGGTTGTGCGCTCATCTCACTCTAGAGGCCGGGAGCCAGCGCTGTCCGCAGACACTTCCGGGTCACGTGGCCAGCGTGACGAAGCTGCTCTGGCGAACCGGCACCAGAGCAGCACACGGAACGCCGTTTACCTTCCCGCTATAAAGCGGTACCTATTTATCTACTTGCACTTAAGGGTGCTTTCGAACTGCTAGGTGGGCAGGAGCTGGGACCGAACAACAGGAGCTCACCCCGCCGCGGGGATTCGAACCGCCGACCATGCGATCAGCAAGTCCTAGGCGCTGAGGTTTTACCCACAGCGCCACCCGCGTCCCTTTATTCAGCATACATCAGGACAAAGGAAAAACATGTCTTCTCCCTTCGTGTCCAAGAGCAAGCAGCAAAAGCAATAGCAAACCGGAAGTTCCCAGCAAGCTGTGCTGGAGTGTAAACAGACATGAGACACACAATAGTCATGCCTGTAATTAAGGTGGAACGGAATATCAATATCCTAACATTTTCAACCTGAGAGAGGCATTAAAGGTTGGCCCAAAAGGCCGGCGAATGTGCCCAAACTTGCCACAGATGCAGGCATATAACACTCTCGGACACAAACACACAACTCGTCCATGCTGTAGTGCAGGACTGAGAGGAGAGCTGTAAATTTCTTGGTCCACTGCTATTGTGGGATAATTTCCCCTTTTGGGGGTGTATGTGCAGAAAATTGCCTGGTGGAGGTAGGAGCCCAGTCTTCCTTCCCGCCCTGGTAAGGTCAAGGACCCCTGGACGGTTAAGTCCAGTCGAATTTGACTGTGGGGTGCAGCGCTCATCTCCGTTTTCAGGCTGAGGGAGCCAGCATTTGTCCACAGGCAGCTTTGTGTGTGCACCTTTTATTTCCCCACTCTGTGCAACTTAGTCCTAGATGGATAGTTTCAACTTCCACAAGGTGAAAGAGAAGTTCTCCCAGTGCTGTGTGTGTTTGTGCGTTGTGACCGTCCTTTTTTAATAAGCAGCCACACCTCCTCCTCTCCCAACAGGCCAGTGATCCTATCGTCGGCCTCCTGGACACCTCAACTGAGGAAGGGAAGAAGGTCCAGAGGAACGGAGGCAAGACCTTCCCGGCTGTCTTTCGGCGCATCAGGGACATCACAGAGGAACAGGAAGCGCCAGGATCATGACCGGGGAATTTCCGGGGCCTGAGAAAATTCACGTCGTCCCAACTCGTGTGTCGAAAGGGAGGTGTTGGGGGCAGGGATTGCATCAAGAGTGGGACAGACTCGATGCCTCTGGTCACGCTGGGGTCAGCCTTCTATTAACACAGCTGGGGATTCCCCTTCTGGGGTAACTCGGCTGAACAGTTGAGTAAGGGATTGCCTGCTTTGTTTGCTTCTTGTTTTGCCCGTAGAAGGACGGGGGTGCCTGGTCCCAGCTATACTGGGGTAAGCATCAGCCTCACGTAGCAGGATGAGTGATCTGGGAGGTGCTTCCCAATCCATTGAACCATCAGTCACTTTCATTTTGTGAATGAATAATAAACAGGAAGAAAGAACTATCAGGCGCTATGAGTTGTCAGGTCCAGCCTAGCTGCTGAGCTTAGCCCGCAGTTGTGCTTTGGAGCTGCAGTCTTCCATCTTCTTCCCCAGATCAGTGCCAGGTGTGAACCCCTGGCTCTTAGGTGTGCGTGTGTGTTAGAGAGAGAGAGAGTCCTTCCACTATGAGAACCTGTGCCTTTCTTAAAGCAGGCCATAGATGTAGCTGGACTGCATCTCCCCATACCCATGCTATGAAGAGATCAGCTGGGCTAAGGCAACATGCACCTAACCCCCAGTGCAGAGAGCCTAAGATGGGGGAGATTCTGAAACTGGTCAATCACCTCTCTTTGAGTACTTCTTGCAAGAATCATTCCGTCACTAGTAGCCTGGATTGTAGGGAAATGACTGCAGTTGTTAGCCGTGTGCAGTAGGATAGCTTCTGCACACTCAACTTCTGTATCTTCCACCCAGGTGAGCAAGAATAATGACCAGAGTTCACTTTCCAGCCAGGCAAAGACACTTGAGGAGGTTGTGGAGCAAGGACTGGGGGGGCTGGGAGAGTCCCATGAGCCAGACAGAGAGGTCCAGAGAGCATTTGGCCACTGGGCCAAGTGGTTCCCCACGTCTGCTTTTAGCTTACAGGGAACATGTCATTGCAAAGATGCTCCATATACCGTATTTTTTGCACCGTAACACTCACTTTTTTCCTCCTAGAAAGTAAGGGGAAATGTCTGTGCGTGTTATGGAGGGAATGCCTATGGGTGGCATGCCTACGGATTTTCCTCCTCTAAAAACTACGTGCGTGTTATGGTCGGGTGCATGTTATAGAGCGAAAAATACGGTATATACACTTGGATATGCCTCTGCCATGCATTACAGTGGAACCTCAGGTTGCGAACGTGATCCGTGCGGGAGGCACATTCACAACCTGTGCATGCGCGTGACGCGATTTGATGCTTATGCGCAACGCGCGTTTTAGCGCTTCTGCGCATGTGCGAGCACCAAAACCCGGAAGTAACTTGTGCCGGTACTTCCAGGTTTGGCGTGATCTGTAACCCGAAAACACGCAACCCGCAGCATTCACAACCCAAGGTATGACTGTAATAATTTGCCCAAAGAGAAGTGTGACCTATAAACTAGGCAATATTTTCCATCGTTGATTCAACTCTTACAAGTGAGGGGCAGGATTCCCACCACTGGAAATCAAAAGCAGCGCCCATGGATTTTGCAGGTTTGTTAAAGTACCAAAACCATTTCAAGCCAGCACCCATAAGGAAACTTGTTTTTGAGAGCATCAAAACCCAGGATGCTCAAGCTACCGTGGAATTGGGAGAATATACAGGGGTGAATCTTTTCCCGAGGTTCCTTTCTCTCAGTAAAGACATCGTTTCCTAAGGTGCATAAAAAGATCGCTAGGTCTGGAACCTTTGCCACGCTGCGATAATGAGTCATCGCCAAAGGGTAACGCAAGGTGGATAGGCTGTGCACATTCACAGAGCACTCCCCAAACTTCAGAGTTGTATGAGCTAAGCCTGAGTCATCCTTTTTTTTTACTTGCCTTGTAAGCGGAGCCGGAACAGCCTGTTGTTTCTGCCCCAAGGGTGGTCTGCCTACTTGACAGTAGGAGGGCTGCAGGTTGGGGAGGGAGGTGAACCGCCTTTCCTCGTTGCCAAGTACCTGGTGTGGCAAGCCGGGTAATTCCTAGCGCACAAGGGAACTTGGAACAGGACACATCCGGACTGGGATTTGATGTCGCCTCCTTCCCCCCCACCCAATGCTCCAGACACGGGAGTGTGTCTCATGCTGATAAGAGGAACCAAGATGATGTCACCTGACTTGGGTTTTTAAGGAAAAACCCCTTCCCAGCCCCACAGCTGGATTTGATTGGATGTTTGGGCTATAGTCCACTGTTTAAAGCAGACACTGTCCTGCAGGGTTATTTGGCCCAGCAAGCTGAAGCCAGCATCCCAAGGATTGTTTAGCGGGGTGACATCTGTTTGGTCCCATCGTTTTTTGTCTCCCGACAGATGTCTCCTGTCGGCAGAGTGGGGGGCTCCTGAGGGGAGGAGGCAGGCAAGGCAGCCTTCCCCATTCACAGAGGCTGGCTGTGTCATCCAAACATACTGGCTCAGATGAGCTTCATTAGGGGAAGGAGGGATTCTTGGGGAATTTGAATTTCTGTGGAATCTGATGCTAGCAGATTTTTCAGAATGTCGTCGTCCTACACATGTAGCCTTTCTCCAGATTTTACAATACCCTTTCTTAGCTTCCCTTGCCCCCCCCCCAAAGTACCAAAATGCATGAAATAAATTCTGCTGTTTAGATATGCAGATTTTTGAGATGAGAGTGCGTAATTAAAATATGTATTTAAATTTCAAAACAATGCTGTGTAGTTCTGTTTTTTTTTAGAAAGAAAGCACAGGTAAATATGGTACAGTGGTGCCCCGCAAGACGAATGCCTCGCAAGACGGAAAACCCGCTAGACAAAAGGGTTTTCCGTTTTTGAGTTACTTCGCAGGACGAATTTCCCTATGGGCTTGCTTCGCAAGACGAAAATGTCTTGCGAGTCTTGAGATTTTTTTTCCGCTCCCCCCCCCTTTATCTAAGCCGCTAAGCCGCTAATAGCCTTTTAGCTGCTAAGCCGATAAGCCGATAAGCCTTTAATAGCCGCTAAACCGCTAATAGCGCTAATCCGATAAGCCGCTAATAGGGTTGCTTCGCAAGACGAAAAAACCGCTAGACGAAGACTCTCGCAGAAGGGATTAATTTCGTCTTGCGAGGCACCACTGTAATGGGAAAGAACAGACTCAGGTCCCAACTGCGCTATATATTTAAAGCAGCATGATATTGCTTTAAGCCGTCGTGGCTTCCCCAAAGAATCTTGGGGACTTTAGTTTTCCAAGGGTGCTGAGAGTTGTTAGAATTCCCAGAGTTCCCTGGGACAATGGATTGGCTATTAAACCACTCTGGTAATTGTAGTTCTGGGGGGGGGGGGGCAGGGGTCTCCTAGCAACTCTCGAACCACAGTTCCCAGGATTTGGGAGCAGAAGCCACAATGGTTTAAAGTGGTGTGACACAGCTTTAAATGCATAGTGCAATTGGGGAAAAGAACGGAATGCGTATGAATTTGTTGTGGTCTGGAAATGGACTGATCCTTCTGTCTTGAACTAGAAGGGGGATGTGAGGCCAAGAGAAGTGGCTGCTACATCAGGGCTAAATGTACATGTCTGGAATAATTTCAGTTTGCAAAGGGGTAGCCTCACCCACCTACCCCCACTACAATCCTATCCTTACTTGATCCCAATGGGATTTATTTCTGTGTAAAGGTAAAGGGACCCCTGACCATTAGGTCCAGTCGTGACCGACTCTGGGGTTGTGGCGCTCATCTCGCTTTATTGGCCGAGGGAGCCGGCGTACAGCTTCCGGGTCATGTGGCCAGCATGAGTAAGCCGCTTCTGGCGAACAAGAGCAGCGCATGGAAACGCCGTTTACCTTCCCGCCGGAGCGGTACCTATTTATCTAATTAATAATAATAATAATAATTTATTATTTATACCCCGCCCATCTGGCTGGGCCTCCCCAGCCACTCTGGGCGGCTTCCAAAAAAATATTAAAATATTGTAATACATCAAACATTAAAAGCTTCCCTAAATAGGGCTGCCTTCAGATGTCTTCTAAAACTCTGGTAGTAGTTGTTCTCTTTGACATCTGGTGGGAGGGCGTTCCACAGGGAGGGTGCCACTACCGAGAAGGCCCTCTGCCTGGTTCCCTGTAACTTGGCCTCTCGCAGTGAGGGAGCTGCCAGAAGGCCCTCGGTGCTGGACCTCAGTGTCCGGGCTGAACGATGGGGCTAGAGACGCTCCTTCAGATATACTGGACCGAGGCCATTTAGGGCTTTAAAGGTCAGCACCAACACTTTGAATTGTGCTCGGAAACGTACTAGGAGCCAATGTAGATCTTTCAAGACCGGTGTTATATGGTCTCGGCGGCCGCTCCCAGTCACCAGTCTAATTGCACTTTGACGTGCTTTCGAACTGCTAGGTTGGCAGGAGCAGGGACCGAGCAACGGGAGCTCACCCCGTCATGGGGATTCGAACCGCCAACCTTCTGATCGGCAAGTCCTAGGTTCTGTGGTTTAACCCACAGCGCCACCCGCATCCCTATTTCTGTGTAGACAGGCCCTTATAGGATGCCAGTGCTTCAAGATGAAGGAATCCCTGGCGTTGCCCCTAACATAGAACGTGGGTCCGTTTAGTGTCTGTGGCTATGATTTACTCACTTAAAACTTTTACATTCTGCCTTTCCATTGAAAAACAAGAGATCCACAAGGTGATGGACAAATATTAAAACCCAATAGGATGTGACTAAGGACTCAACTAGATCTCGCAATAATCGTCCGACTTGACATTTGTGTGGTTAGTTTATCTCCAGCCATGGGGGAAGCCCCTTCAGATGCAGGAACGTTCTGTGGGGGAGAGGGAAGATATTTAACCCTTTGCCTTTGCTGCGGCCCTGATCCAGATCAGCTAGCACATCAGAAAAGCGAAAGGTGTCAAGGCTCTTTACTTCAGACCAGAGCAGGCAGCCCAAACCAGCAAGTCTATGAGGAATTAACGGCTACTTTCATTTTAGCTCAGTCTTCCAATGACATGGACTCTCATCCTATTGTCTACACCCCTGGGATCAATGGGGTTTGCTTCCCAAGAAGTAAAAATAGGATTGTAGCTTTTCTTCATGGCGATTGATTGATTGATTTGTTGTAGCCAGAGTATCCTGACCTAAGTTCTTGTTGTGGTGATAAACCTGTTTCTGAGTTGAACTACATCAGACTACATACAGGTGCTCACATGAATGAAAGGCCCTCAGTATTCAGTCTGGGCTTGGGAGGAAAAAATGTATATAAAGGCAAAGCAATTTGGAAAGGAAACAGCTGATTTCTATAGAAGAGAGGCAGACACATAATCCCACTGCACACACAGAAAGCTAGTATGTTAAGAGAAAGTGGTTCGCTGTAGCCTAGGACTAGATTAACTTTCCGTGCAGAGGGAAATTTTTGTGTGGAGAAGCATTTGTGAAGCTTGATCTGAAGTAATGTAGCTCAGATACACAGTGAAAACAAGCCATAATATTACGAGCTGCAAGGAAACCCCAAAGATCAATGAAAACGCCTCTCCTGTGGGGGTGAGGGAATATTTTAACATCATTTTAAACTGATCTTTGCAATGGCCAGTGGTTATGCAATGCACTGAAGGGCTGTTTTGATTAAATAGACCTACCAATGAATTGTTAATATATTCCAGTTAATAAATAAGGCTTTGGCCAAAGCAGGTATCTGACCAGCATCCCATGGGATAGACAACAATTCAGTTACAAACGGCCATTGAAATTATTCTTCCCTGGCTAATATTATATGCATGTACTGATTTCCCCCTTCATTGTCATGTCATGCAATTGTGTGACCCCAAGACTGTGGAAATTAATGAAACTGTACTTAAGTTAATGGAAAGACTTGTTTATATACAACTATGTATTATAAAACGTAAGATGCATGGATTATACATAATGGTTGGAGAATGTGCAAAATTCAGATGATATATGCACATTCCGCAAGACCTCTTGGGGAGCTGTATTGACTGGGAAATATGCATAATTCCTTCTCCATGAATGGCTTATGTGCACATTCTCCATGAAGACTGGTAAATGTGCACACTTGCTGGCTGTGGAGCACATTAACCGCTCAACTTACATTCCCCTTTACATATATATCAGGTCAAAGCAATCTATGAAAACCACAATTTTAAACCACTGCCTTGGTGGGAACATGTAGTCATAGGTTTCTCATCACCTTAAGAAAACAAAAGATGTTTTAAGTAAACAATTACTAACTGCTCCTGTTCTCAACAAGTTACACATGTTTGCATTTAAAGGTGAAAGAATACCAACTATCTCTTGTTGTCGAGAGCACTTTCCCCCCAGAGAACAGTTGGCCCACAACTTGCGTTTCCCGTTACAGATGAGCCCCTAGTGATGGTTTACGCAAAACCGGGGGTGGGGGGAAGAAGAGAAGATTGTTTATTGGAAATGTGAAAAGTCCCTCCTGCTGTTTGTCTGGCCTTAATATAGACATGGAAGAAACAGGATGGACAACCGAGAATTAGGACATTGGGATTTGGGGGGAGATGCACAGGGACCCATTTAGCAGAATGAGCAGCCGCCGCCCCCCAATGCAACACGTCTGCTTACCCGATTTTGAAGCAAGGGAAGGAATAGAGCACACATTAACATCTAAGTGGGGTTGGAGCTTGCGGGTGGTTTAAGACCATTGGGTCCAGAGTCCAGAATTACTTAACTGTAGCACTAGCACATAGAAACCAGGTAAAACACTCAGTTAGTGAACTCTCAGAGGATCACAGAGAAGTTGAGGTTCCTCCCCAGCTGTGTCCTCTTTCAAGGGTAGTTTCAGATTGCTCTTGTGGGGGAAAGCAAAGTGCTGTGTTTGAGGGCACCATGGCGGCTGAGCGCAAACTTTTCTACCTAGCGGTGAAGCCCAGTCCTTTCTAATAGAGGTTTAGGCTCAAATGCTCTCCACAGCTGCAAAGTTCAAGGGGGGGGGCGGCCTTAGGACAGCTTGCCGTTCCTCTCTTCCTTGCTCACCTTGCAAAAGTGTTGATATGACAGCATTCTATCAGAAGTTTAAAGCACTGCATCACGCACAGTAAAGTGTCCCAGTCTGCAATCCCGTGCACCACTTGCCTGGGAGCAAATCCCACTGAATTAAATGCAGCTTGCTTCTGAATCGACACATATAGGCTCACACAATGCTAGATTATCTAGCTAAAGAGCGGGTAGTTGTGTTGGTCCATGGAGGAGGGTGGAATTCAGACAAGGATAGTGAGTGAAACATACCTTTATTGAGAATAATCCCAAAGTAACGTGTATCTTCAGAGCTCTTCCACAGGCGAAATCAAAGAGGTGGGGAGAGGAGATGGGTGTTGCAGGGGAAATGTTTGATGTTAAGACTGGTTTCAGTCTTAAAATAATGACGGAAGGAGGTCTTGCAGATTAACTAGGTAAGAACTGAGCCTTGTGCAAAAGATCTCTGGTTACACAGAGGCGTGTTGGGTTGGAGACTAAAGATCTAGGAGTGAATTTGGTGGGGGGGGGTTGTGTTTTTTGAATAACTTTTTATTGAGTTTTAAAAAACAAGGATCACGGGGATAATAAATGATACGAATAAATAGACCAGGCATGTCCAAAGTCCATTTTGGGGGACTAATCTGGCCCGCCGGATCCAGCCCCTGTGGCAGTTTATTTCTTGGGGTAAAATCAGGGGGAAAAAATCATCAACAACTTCAATCCTAAAAGAAGCTGAACAACTTCAATTCTAAAAAAAGGTCAACAACTTGGGTCGGCCCCCACAGCCCTTCACTTCATCAAATCTGGCCCTCTTTGAAAAAAGTAGAAATAGATCAAGTCTTCTCCATGCCATTTGTATATCACAAAAATAGCATAATAAAATTTGCAGTAACATCTACAATGGGGAGAGGTAATATCTCTGATGAGGGGCACATGCTTCTTCTGGGGTAGTTTGTCGACCTTCGGTCCCCACCCTGCACCCAGTTTTCACCTGGTCTCCAAGAAGCTGTCAGCATGTGACAGAGGCTGCACCCTGGGAACAGAACTGACTGGCCGGCTAAATGAGGTGGGGGTAGCTGAAGAGTCTCAAACCCGTTTTTGGTTTTTTTTAAATTATTTTTATTTTATTAAAATAATTCAACATTAATACATGCATATTACGAATATACAGACAAACATACATTTCCTACAATCCTTAAAAATATTCATACATACCCACACTCAATCCCACAGATACTTCCTCTTCCCACCACCACCCCTCACCCCACCCTTGGGTTAGACTTTCAATCTACTCAATTGCAATTTCTTTCCACTTCTATTTCTTTCACACACTTTTAAACCAACTTTCTACTTCTTTTTCTGTTACACATTGTTATCCATCTTATTTAGTATTTCAGTATTTTATAATGAAAGAGTCTCAAACCCTTGGTGAGCTAGGGACTTCCCCAGCATGCAAAGACAGGCTCCTGGAGATTGAGTGGATGAGACCAATAGATGGGTTCAGGGGTCAAGAAAATGGTCTCTGCATGTAATGTAGAGGGAAGTGAGAGGCAGATGGGCCTTGTCAACCTGGGAAGGGAGCCCATCTAGGAGAAGGAAAACTCGTGATTCTAAACCTCTGCTGCCTTGTGAGGTATCTTGTCTAGGAGTAAACCCTTGACAAATGTGGAGTTGAGTCCCTAACAAAGTTGGATGGCTCACCATCCTTCCAGCAACTCCTGCAGGCCAGCTGGTGACAAATGTTTTCCTTTGGACCACATCAGCAAGGCCGAAAGTGGGGTCTTGACATCTGAGAACCCCAGAACCTCCATCGACACCGTCCAGGCTTGTGTCCCGGAGAAGTCACTTTGGTACTGCTAACACAGCAGTTTGTCTTCGCTCTCAGATGCACACTCCATTGTCTCTCAAGTCAACAACAAAAATCTACAACACATGATTGTCATGGTGGTCAATGTATGAGTTTGATCGTTTTATTGAATTATTGTGTTATGAAATGTCTCATAAAAATCACGTCTCTAGGCGATGTTAAAAATACAAAGCAAAAACATAGCAGTAAAAACCATATGCAAGCAATAATAGAACCACAACACACATAAAAGATAACCAGCATTAAAACCCAAATACAAAGCCAGCGGGGCGGGGGGGAATGGAATATACATCATGGAAGGAAAAAAGCTGTCAGATGCATGGCAATCCATTAAAACCACTAGCTGTAACAAACTGAGAAGCAGACCCCAAAAGTCTTGGGAGAGCAAAGAGGTCTGAACCTGGTGGTAGGAAGACAGCAGTGTGGGCACTAAACAAGCTTTCCTAGGGAGAGTAATCTGTAGGCAGAGTGGGGGTGTTTGCCACCAAAGATGCCCTCTCTTTCTTTGGCCATCCTCCATATTTCAGATTGCAAGGGTCAGCGGCGTAGCGTGGGTTGTCAGCACCCGGTGCAAGGCAAGTAATTTGCGCCCCCTAACCCCTAACCTGCCGCCACTGCCAGCTTCTTCTTGCTGCTGCCTGGTCTGGTCTGGTGTGGTTCTCTCCCGCGCTCAGCGCTGCGCTGGGCGGCCGCTGCACTGTCCCTCCCCCAGATAGTCCCTCGCTCTCTCTCCGCACCGCATGCCTGGCACCCACCCCCTCCACAGTGGGCGGCGACCCAGCGGCTCGGATCGGATTCGCACAGCCAGCACTGCAGTGAGAGAGAGTGAGTGAGCCAGGTAGGGGCAGAGAGCTGCGAGTGCGAGCACGCCCACCCCAGATGTTGCGCCCGGTGCGGCCGGCACCCCCTGCACCCCCCATGCTACGCCACTGGCAAGGGTACATAGAAAAGGCTCTGCAAATGACCCAAGGGTACTCATTCCATCTGGTACTGAGGTCCCAAGCCACAAAGGAGAAAGTAGCATGAAATGAGGTCACCAACTGTAAGAGGCATCAGTCTACTATCGGGAAGAAAGTCAGCACAGGTTAGGTTAGACAGACAGTCTATCTACCCCGTCTACCTTTTCCCACATGCAAACCCAACAGACATAACAACAACAACAACAACAACAACAACAACAACTACACCAGTGTGGTGTAGTGGTTAAGAGCGGTAGTCTTGTAATCTGGGGAACCGGGTTCGCGTCTCCGCTCCTCCACATGCAGCTGCTGGGTGACCTTGGGCCAGTCACACTTCTCTGAAGTCTCTCAGCCCCACTCACCTCACAGAGTGTTTGTTGTGGGGGAGGAAGGGAAAGGAGAATGTTAGCCGCTTTGAGACTCCTTCGGGTAGTGATAAAGCGGGATATCAAATCCAAACTCTTCTTCAGTTTATTTATATCCTGCCCTCCCCAGCTGAAGTTGGGCTCAGAGTGGCTAACAACAGTAAAAGTAATACAGCATTCTAAAATCAACTCATTATAAAATCAATTCAAAATCAAATTAATGGCAACCATTGGGCTAGAGTTTTATGAGGATTACCAAAGGCTGTGCCTTGGCCACAGGCCTGGTGGAACAGCTCTGTTTTGCAGGCCCTGCGGAAAGATGTCAAATCCTGCAGGGCCCTAATCTCTTGTGGCAGAGCGTCCCACCGGATCGGAGCCACAACCGAAAAAGCCCTGGCTCTGGTTGAGGCCAGCTTAACCTCCCTGTGGCCCGGGACCTCCAAGATGTTTTTGTTTGAAGACCGTAATGTCCTCCGTGGGACATACCAGGAGAGGCGGTCCCGTAGGTACGAGGGTCCTAGGCCGTATAGGGCTTTAAAGGTTAAAACCAGCACCTTAAACCTGATCCTGTACTCCACCGGGAGCTGAGTTGGTCCTCAACATTTCTCACAAAAACTAGCACTCTGAACTGTGCCCGGAAACTAATGGAAAGC